ATGTCACTGTCTTTGGGCCCAGAAGTCCCCAGGTCTTGCCATACTACTGGCTAACCAGGTCTCAACCTGGGTTCACAGGAGTCTATTGAATGAGGTCGGACTTAGCTCCCAACTTCATTGCTGTTTTTCCCCCACTTCCCCTTATTGGTGACCATCATGCTCAGCAGCTAGCCCACATGACTGCTTGTGTATTCCCCTTGATTCTTAGTCTTGGAAGGGGGTTTGTCCAGGAGCTTGATTCTTGAGAGTGGGCTATTGGGAGGACTGTGGAGAGTGGCACACATTTAGAGCAGCTTGGCTAACCATCATCTCCGAGTAGGGCATGTTTTCAAACCCGCTGAAAATCTTAACGGACAAGAGATTTGGCTGCTGTGCTATGTGTAAGCTGCCCTTGTTTTCTAAGAAGGAGATTCATTTATAGCAAGGCTTCTGCCTGTATTTCCCCCCATTCTGGTTTTCATTTCATGTTAACTCAAAATAATTTGTTTGTTCTGGTTCGCTTTCTTGATCGTGACCGAACTGAGAACTGGCTCAAAGCCCTGAATCTTAGTGAAAAGGTGAAGGCATATCCTAGGGTAAATAAGAGAGATGTACGATCCTAGACTGTGCTATTTTCTCATCCTTGAGCAGGGATATGATAATCCAAACCTCCTGAAGAATAAATTAATAAACAGGTGTGGGAAAAAAAGGACACTTCCTCTGGTTTCTCAAGGGGGAGGGAGAATCAAACTCAAAATCAGCTCAAGGCTGATTCCTGTGAGGCAGAGATCAGATATGCCTCCACCCTTCAACCTTCTTGATCCTCTTCTGATACCAGCCGTCTCTCCTGCAGCATTCTTCCTTCTCTACTGGGTGTGATACTCTGGGCGATGGCCACACAGAACTCACAGACAATACTTAAGATTGTGGGGTTTATTGAGGATCAGAAACCACTCAGGATGCAGCAGCTGTCCACTCTGGAACACCTCTTCTCTGTTGTACTGCAGCTGCCTCTCTCTTGTCTTCAGCCTTTCAGACGTGTGGCCGCTTGACCTCTGCCCTGCCTCGGGCAAGTGTTGTAAAGCTCCTTTAGTACTGTCTGTAAGTGGCTAGAGGGCTTTACTGGGTCTGTGGACCAGGAAGACCCCACTGCTTTCTCTTTGTATGTTGCTGCTGCTGCTGCTTTTCGGGGCTAGGATCTCACTTTCCTTTCTTAATGGTCCGGAATCTCTGTTTCTGCTTCTGAGATCACTCCTTTTAATCCTAGCAGAACTAATCAGTTCCCACATTGGAGTCCCATACACCCTATTTGCATGGTCACACCCAATATTTTGGTGGAGATTACCAGGCTAGAAGAGACATGTTAAGTAAATTCACTGTAACATCGATGTGGTTAGAACAAAGACTGGTGGTGATGTTGGTGGTGATCATAGTGACCCTACAAGGATTCCCGAAGCTGTAAATCTTTATGAGAGCAGAAAGCCTCATATTTCTACTGAGAAACAGCTGTTAGTTTTGAACTTCTGATATTTAGGTTAGCCTGACTTGTAACCACTACGCTTACCAGAGACACTTAGAACA